GCTCTATGGAGTTTGTGTAGGGGCTGGATTGTCCCAGTGCTCTATGGCGGTTGTGTAGGGGCTGATCGTTTTTGAAGTGTGACGTGACAGGTGTGTGATTGCATGTGAGGTCTGACACAGGATACTTGTTCTCTGATGAAGGGGACGTGATGGTCCAGTGTATTATCACTGGACTGTTAATTCAGAGACCCAGATAACATTTTGGAGAACCAGGTTTGAATCCTGCCATGGCAGATGGTGGAATTTGAATTCAATAAATATCTGGAATTAAGAACCTACTGATGACCCTGAATCCATTGTCGATTGTTGGAAAAACCCATCTGGTTCACTAATGTCCTTCAGGGAAGGAAACTGCCATCCTTAACTGGTCTGGCTTATATGTGACTCCAGACCCACAGCAATGTGGTTGACTCTAAACTACCCTCTGGGCAATTAGGGATGGGCAATAAATGCTGCTTAGCCAGCCTTGCCCTCATCCCGTGAATGAATAAAGTAAAAAAAAAACTATCCATGTTTTCCACAAAGCAGCCCTGAACAAAGCAAAAGTAAGATATGAAGCAGGAGAAACAAGGAGGAAATCTCACAGAACAGCAGGCCCTTTTATTCAGGGGGCTCTCCCCATCTGAGACAGATCGCTGTGGTTCGCCAAATCGCAGTTCAGTCTGGACCCCTTTAAAAATGATGTATGAGGTGCAAAAGAAGCAATGGTGATGTGAAAAAATGCTTTTTCCCACACAAAGTAGTTAAGGGATTGGCAGAGGGAGGTGCAGGCTCAGTTGGATGAATGGCTGATTTGCAAAGCAGTGTGATGCAGCAGTATGGGTTCAATTCGTGGCTGAGGTTACCATGAAAGACCCTCCTTCTCAACCTCTCCCCTTGCCTGGGGTGTGGTGGCCCTCAGGTTAAACCAGCACCAGCTGTTTCTGTCTAATGGGAGAATGTGACAATGATGACTTTATCTTTACTAGTTATGGACTGGACTGCACTGCCTGGAAATGTGGTGGAGGCAGGTTCGATTAAGGCATTCAAGAGGGGCATTGGATGGTTATTTGGATAGAAATGGTGCACAGTTAATACGGGGAAAAGGCAGGAGATTGGCACAAGGTAGTGGAACCAGTGCAGGCATGATGGGCCAAATCTGTGATTTTGGTGCAGATTCCAGGATTCTTGATCGTATTACTGGGGTTTCCATGTGTGCGTGTTTCTGTGTGTGTGAAGGGCTGGTTTTGGGTCACAAACCCACACTTAGCATCCTCTGGCCTCCATAGTGGGGCTAGGCATGGTCTCCTCTTCCTTCTTGCAACCAGGGGTACATAATAAAGCTTGGCTGAGAGGCCAGACATCCATCACTTTGTGGAAACACGTGCATCCTAGCTCGATTGTCAGCTCTGACTGTCTTCTCTCTGCTGTCAATTTCACAATACTTATTTACATCAGAATAAGGGTTTTAAAGGGTTGCAGTTTCTGCTGTGGATAGAATGATTGATATTTATTGCCTAAATGAAAAGAAACTTTGAAACTACTAGAATGTTACCCAGTGAACAACTTTTGCTTAAAGTCTTTTTTTCACACATGCTACTGTCGCTCAAGATTCATCATTTATTAATAGAATACAGTGGGTGAAATTTATTTAATAGGAGCACAAAATGTAGAAGCAGAAATAGGCCTTTCAGCCCTTTGAATTTGCTCTACTGTTCAATGGGATCATGGCTGTTCTGATAATCCAAAACTCCACTTTCCTGCCTTTCTAAAATAACCCTTGATTCCCCTCCTGATCAAAACTCTGTCTATCTCTGCCTTGAATATACTTAATGACCCAGCCTCAACAGCCCACAGCAATAAAGAATTTTACAGATACGTTATCCTCTTAGAGCAAAAAAAAATCTTCCTGTAATTAATGTATTTGTTCAGAGGTTGTAACTTCACTCTTTAGGCCAGTATTTATTGCCCCGTCCCTAGTTGCCCCTTGAGAAGGTGGGGGTGAGCTGCCTTCTTGAACTGCTGCAGTCCATGTGCTGTAGTTACACTCACAATGCCCTTAGGGAGGGAATTCCAGGATTTTGACCCAGTGACACTGAAGGAATGGCAATATATCTCCAAGTCAGGATGGTGAGTGGCTTGGAGGGGAACTTGCAGGGGGTGGTGTTCCCATGTATCTGCTGCCCTTGTCCCTCTAGATGGAAGAGTTTGTAAGTTTGGAAGGTGCTGTCTGAGGGTCTTTGGTGAATTTCTGCAGTGCATCTTGTTGATAGTACACACTGCTGTTACTGAGCGTCGGTGGTGGAGGGAGTGGATGTTTGTGGATGTGGTGCCAATCAAACAGGGGCTTTGTCCTGGATGGTGTCAAGCTTCTTGAGTGTTGTTGGGGCTGCACCCATCCAGGCTAATGGGGAGTATTTCATCACACTCCTGACTTGTGTCTTGTAGATGGTGGACAGGCTTTGGGGAGTCAGGAGGTGAGTTACTCACTGCAGTATTCCCAGCTTCTGGCCTGCTCTTGTAGTCACTGTGTTAATGTGGTGAGTCCAGTTGAGTTTCTGGTCAATGGTAACCCCCATATTGATAGTGGGGGATTCAGGAGGCCTGGGATTTGTATTGATTGGATGTGGAAATGATAAAGCCTGGCAAGGGATGGTGGCTCGTGGGTATGAGAAGCTATGGAAGGGGGTAGGTAGGTGAAAGGTCATGAAGTTGTATGGATGAAGCATGGGGAGCATTAGGAGGTGCGAGTGGTGATGGCTGGAGGGTTGAGGGTGGTTCTATTTTTATTATAACCAGGACCAGCCCCATTGTGGGCCTGTTAAACAGCTTTCATCAGCTCCTGGCAGCTACAACTGCTTACAAACTACAAACCTGAGGAGGGTTAGCTGAGCTGGGAAATTCCCAGGTTCCTGCTCTCCATTGTGGAATGAAACTGGAACTCAGCGTCTGTGTGTCTTTCCCCCAGTGAGGCTGCAGCACTCACTCTGGACCAGAATTGGAAAACTTACCTCCTCAGAATTGACGGAAGGTCCCAGAATCTTGCGATCTGAAATGACAAAAGTTGCAGGAAACAAATGTAACTAACTACTAAATAATACAAATTGCTGAAACCAGGAATTCTGACAATTTATCCATCGTGTTAGCTAACTGATTGTCTGGTTGGCATGATGTCTGTTTGAATATTGAGATTTACATCGTATGGCTGTGTATCTGTAACAATACTTTCTACTTTAAGTTTCAGATTTCAAAATCTGCAGCTCTTATTTTAATTGTTGTCTTCACCAAGGAGAGTCATGGGAAATGGGACCAGTGTTGGCCCCACCCATTTCCCATTCAGCCCTAACCCAGTCAGATGCAGAGAGGAACTTCCTTTATTTAATTCTGACAGTAAGCCTCAGTCCTTCACCTACAATCCTCTCCGTGGTGTCATTTCAGTTCCCCATTCCGATCATACTGTAACTTCATGGATTGGCAATGCCAATGGGTGCCAACTGACAGACAATGTTGGACTAGGGGTGCCTGTGCCCAACAGGGACTGGATTGAGTGAGGGAGAGTTTGAGGAAGAGTTAGAATTCCTGCTTCAACAGTGATTGAATGGAACTTTTATTCCCAATTGCTTCATCCGGCTGCTAATGGTCAGCCTCCCTGTTCACATATCCCATCGTTGTCTCCTGCTCTGACCATTACCACGTGTTCCCAGGTGGAACACAGTTAACATCCAGACTGTGAGGTAGCCATCCGTCACCACACCAACCTGGAGCTGTAACCACCTCTTACATTTATCTCTCCATGTCCTTCTACTTTGATCGAAATGACATTGCATTGAGGAATTTTTGCCAAATTCTTCCTGGACCAATTCTTTGAAGGGGGTGGCCATGCTGAGAACCTCATGAATCTACAAAATCAATGAGGAGGCCCCACCTTATTTCAGGATATCAGGAAACCAGATTGTGGTAAATGAGGAAGTGACTTTGATGCAATGGTGTGCTTTCAGGAGCTGAACAAATCACTTTTAGAATTGCAGAAACTGGCCGCAAACAGAATGACCTATATTGCTGTGACCTCCTAGACAGCCACTATTTGGATGAACAGGTCAAGTCTATCATGCTCCTAGGAGATCATGTAATGAACCCGCAGAGACTGACTACTCCCGAAAATCGAATGGCTGAATTTTTTTTTGACCAGCACATGTGGATGAATACAGCAGTGAAACATCTGCACTGTCTCTTCCTTGGCTCAGTGCATGTTTAAGTTACCTTTGTAGCCCAGATTTCACACTACCCAATTACGTAATTGATTATGCCACCATAAACCTGAATAGTTTCTAATAAGCTCTGTTGGTGGATTATTGAAGTTTACTTGTAGAAAATGGTCTTTAGCTTATCTCCAAATAAATCAATTTGCACAGAAAACAAACAACCGCGTATAGCTTACATTATGCCAATGTCAACTGCCCACTGTTATAAGGGATTGTAAAAAATTCTGTTGTGCCAAACTGTTACCAGAGGATAAAGAATACAACTCACCACCTCAGAGTCAGATTAATCAAAGATGGGCAAGTGATGCCAACCTTCTGGGAATGGAAGAGAATTCCCTAAATGTTGGCACTCTGAGCTTTTCAGTCCATCAGTTGAGGCTGGATTTGAATGCAGAGGTAAAACAGCACTGAACTATCTGGCTCCCATGTGTAGCTTTTTCTTTTATCCATCAAACCTTGCATCCTCTTTCCGGTTTTGGTTGGAATGAATTCTTACCTTCTGGTTTCATTGGTGGAAGAGGCGGTGGCAGCTGCCCAACACTTTGGACATCATCGTAGTTTTCGTCCTCTTCCTCTTCTGCTGTCGGGCTGTCAACAAGAAAGAAGGTTTGTCAAGGGAAGTACAAATGGTGCATGAACGCTTTGCCTCGCTGTGTGGTTTAGCTCTGTGAATGTGGTAGTCACTCACACAGAAGGGGCAGGCAGTCACATTGTGGTAATGTCACTGGGCTAGTCATCCTGAACCCTCGGTTAATGTTGTGTGGCATTGGAGTAATGGGATAAGGGCATTGCTGGCTAGGCAGCATTTATTGCCCATCCCTTATTGCCCAGAGGGCAGTTATGAGTCAACCACATTGGTATGGGTCTGGAGTCACATGCAGGCCAGACCAAGTAAAGTTTCCTTCCCCAAGGGACATTAGTGAACCAGATGGGTTTTTCCTGACAATCAACAATAGATTCACGATCATCATTAGACTCTTAATTCCAGATATATATTGAATTCAAATTCCACCATCTGCCAAGGCGGGATTCAAACCCAGGTCCCCAGAACGTTATCTGGGTCTCTGAATTAACAGTCCAGTGATTATACCAATAGACCATCACCTCCTGCCATGCCAGATGGTGAAATTTGAATTCAATACTTTCTTTTATATCTGAAATCCCAAAGCCAATGGTAACCATGTAAACATTGTCTTTTGTTGTAAAATAAACATCTGGCTCACTGTTGTCCTTACCCAGTTGTTGTGAAGATGCCAAATATTTATGAATTGGAAGTAGGAAGCTAAAATGTGTGGTCCCTTTAACAGGTAAAGTGCTTTTAAGCTTAAACAGAAGGTGGAAGCTGCTGGGAAATAGTACAGACAGTTTTAAAATTGCAACATGTATCCACTGGCTGTGTGAGTGGAAACCTTAGACTTGTTTTGATCTTTTGATGAGTTTGAATTTGGCCAATTAATTTAAATTAAGCACCTAGATACAGAAAGCCAATTGAATTTAAACCTGATGATGTTGACAAATTTGAACCAATCCTACGTAAGAAATATTATTATGTCATTATGGGTATAAAGATGAAGGCATTTGGAAAATCAAGAGAGAACCATTTGCCATCTGAGGGGAGAGCCAAACTTCAGCTGCACTGAAAGCAAGTCTATCATGTGAGATACAAATAAAATTATTGAGCTCTCTGAAAAGACTCATCAAAGGTACCACAGCATTTTAGCTCAAAGTCCTCACCAAAGAAATTAAAGAGGAAAACATCCAAGACAGCAGAACCATTGGAAGAAAGGCATTTGTGACAGATGATCAATGGAAAAGATGGAACTTTCTGGAAGACACATTCTGTGTGAATTTGGAGAGATTAAGTTTTAATTTATTGTTGTCTTATTAATTGGGTTTATATAAGTGGGACTTGTGTTTATTTGAACAGCATTCTGAAAGAATTTAGTTCACTTAGGGAATAGTTAGTAGTCTAAGGGGGAATTGTTTGTTTTGTTTTTTTTCCTATTCATTTTGTGGGATGTGGGCATTGCTGGCTGGCACAGCATTTCTTGCCCATCCCTAGTTGCCCCTTGAGAAGGTGGGGGTGAGCTGCCTCCTTGAACTGCTGCAGTCCATGTGCTGTGGATTGACCCACAATGCCCTTAGGGAGGGAATTCCAGGATTTTGACCCAGTGACAGTGAAGGAACAACAATATATTTCCCAGTCAGGATGGTGAGTGACTTGCAGGGGAACTTGCAGGGGGTGGTGTTCCCATGTATCTGCTGCCCTTGTCCTTCTAGATGGGAGTGGTCTTGGGTTTGAAAGGTGCTGTCTGAGGATCTTTGGTGAATTT